GGAGGTTTCTCGGTGAGCTGCGATGGGTTAGTCAGCCAGAATTTGCCGTTGTGAGGAGATGTGGCCTGGTGTCGGAAAGTGTGGATGAGCTGGAAAAGGAGAAGCAGGAAAGGTGGACATGCTGCAGGAAGGCAGGGGAGAAAGGTCAGAGGTTCCCAGACCTTGCTGCCTGGGCTGTTAGTACATCAATGTAGTTGGTCACAGACACAGTGAGTGAGATCGGTGTTTGCTCACTTACTAATGCCCAGGGCTTCTCAAACCATCCACCTCACAGATATCATACCAATGGTCTGAAACACGGCCCTGAGGCAGGAGGCCGTTGAGGGGCAGTGATCCATTCACCTCTCGATCTCGCTCATTCACCACCTTCCAGTACACTGTGTCCTTGAAGACAAACACCGAGGTGTGGGTGTACGAGTAATAAACCACATCCAGGTTCCCCAGGGGGTGGTTACCCTTCACAACAGGAGGGAAGACATCCACTATCCTCCTCGGGTACCCAGGCACCGTGCTGTTCAGATCCACATTGAACGCAGTCACCTGTGGGCCCAAACCACACCGTCAGATCGACTGGGTCAGCATCACAATGTCACACACACACACCCCCTCCGCCACACACAACCTCCCCACCACACACACACCCCCCCCACCACACACACACCCCTCCCACCACACACACACCCCCCCGCCATACACACACCCGCCTCTGTCACACACACCCACCCCTCTGTCACACACACACCCCCCCGCCATACACACACCCCCCTCTGTCACACACACACCTCCCGTCACACACATACCCCTCTCCGCCACACACACACACAACCCCTCTGTCACACACACACACCCCTCTGTCACACACACACCCCCCCGCCACACACACACCCCCCTCTGTCACATACACACCCCTCCGCCACACACACACACACCCGTCACACACACACGCCCCCGTCACACACACACACCCCCCCTCTGTCACACACACACACCCCGTCACACACATACCCCCTTCCACAACACACACACCCGCCTCCACCACACACACACCCCCCTCCACCAGGCACACTCACACACACACACACACACGCACACACACAGACACACTCCAACACACCTTCCACACACATCCCACACTCCAACACAGCATTGGAATTAGCGGATTGGAAAACTGCCAATGTAATGCCTTTATTTAAAAAGGGAAGGAGACAAATGACAGGAAACTGTAGGTCAGTTGCTTAATGTGTGTTATTGGGGTTAAGTTAGAGTCTGTTATAAAGGCTGTGATAGTAGAGTATTTAGAGATACAAAATAATGTCAAACACAGTCAGCGTGGCTCCATGAAGGGGACATCAGGTCTGACACATTGACTAGAATTCTTTGAGGAAGTAACAAGCAGGTTAGATAAAGGGGAAGCAGTGGGTGTAATATAATTGGATTTTCAGAAGGCATTTAATAAGGGACCACACATTACACTAGTTAATAAGACATGAGCCCATGCTGTTGAGGTAGTACATTGGGATGGATAGAGGATTGGTTAACTAATAGAAAACAGGGTGTTGGGATAAGGAGGGGCATTTTCAGGCTGGTACACTGTAGAACATAGAACATAGAACATTACAGCGCAGTACAGGCCCTTCGGCCCTCGATGTTGCGCCGACCTGTGAAACCAATCTGAAGCCCATCTAACCTAAACTATTCCATTATCATCCATATGTTTATCCAATGACCATTTAAATGCCCTTAAAGTTGGCGAGTCTACTATTTTTGCAGGCAGGGCATTCCACGCCCTTACTACTCTCTGAGTAAAGAACCTACCTCTGACGTCTGTCCTATATCTATCACCCCTCAATTTAAAGCCATGTCCCCTTGTGCTAGCCATCACCATCCGAGGAAAAAGGCTTCCACTGTCCACCCTATCTAATCCTCTGATCATCTTGCATGTCTCTATTAAGTCACCTCTTAACCTTCTTCTCTCTAACGAAAACAGCCTCAAAACCCTCAGCCTTTCCTCATAAGACCTTCCCTCCATACCAGGCAACATCCTGGTAAATCTCCTCTGCACCCTTTCCAATGCTTCCACATCCTTCCTATAATGCGGTGACCAGAACTGTACGCAATACTCCAAGTGCGGCCGCACCAGAGTTTTGTACAGCTGCAACATGACCTCATGGCTCCGAAACTCAATCCCTCTACCAATAAAACCTAACATACTGTACGCCTTCTTAACAACGCTATCAACCTGGGTGGCAACTTTCAGTGATCTATGCACATGGACACCGAGATCTTTCTGCTCATCCACACTACCAAGAATCTTACCATTAGCCCAGTACTCTGTATTCCTGTTACTCCTTCCAAAGTGAATCACCTCACACTTTTCCGCATTAAACTCCATTTGCCACCTCTCAGCCCAGCTCTGCAGCTTATCTATGTCCCTCTGTAACCTGCAACATCCTTCCGCACTATCCACAACTCCACCGACTTTGGTGTCATCCGCAAATTTACTAACCCATCCTTCTACGCCCTCATCCAGGTCATTTATAAAAATGACAAACAGCAGTGGCCCCAAAACAGATCCTTGAGGTACACCACTAGTAACTGAACTCCAGGATGAACATTTCCCATCAACCACCACCCTCTGTCTTCTTACAGCTAGCCAATTTCTGATCCAAACCGCTAAATCACCCTCAATCCCATGCCTCCGTATTTTCTGCAATAGCCTACCATGGGGAACCTTATCAAACGCTTTACTGAAATCCATATACACCACATCAACCGCTTTACCCTCATCCACCTGTTTGGTCACCTTCTCAAAGAACTCAATAAGGTTTGTGAGGCACGACCTACCCTTCACAAAACCGTGTTGACTATCCCTAATCAAATTATTCCTTTCTAGATGATTATAAATCCTATCTCTTATAATCCTTTCCAACACTTTACCCACAACCGAAGTAAGGCTCACTGGTCTATAATTACCAGGGTTGTCTCTACTCCCCTTCTTGAACAAGGGGACAACATTTGCTAGTCTCCAGTCTTCTGGCACTATTCCTGAAGACAATGACGACATAAAGATCAAAGCCAAAGGCTCTGCAATCTCCTCCTGAGCTTCCAGAGAATCCTAATATAAATCCGATCCGGCCCAGGGGACTTATCTATTTTCACACCTTCCAGAATTGCTAACACCTCCTCCTTATGAACCTCAATCCCGTCTAGTCTAATAGACTGTATCTCAGTATTCTCCTCGACTACATTGTCTTTTTCCTGTGTGAATACTGACGAAAAATATTCATTTAGCACCTCTCCTATCTCTTCGGGCTCCATGCACAACTTCCCACTACTGTCCTTAACTGGCCCTAATCTTACTCTAGTCATTCTTTTAATGCTGACATACCTATAGAAAGCTTTAGGGTTTTCCTTGATCCTAACTGCTAAAGACTTCTCATGTCCCCTCCTGGCTCTTCTTAGCTCTTTCTTTAGGTCCTTCCTGGCTAACTTGTAACACTCAAGCCCCCTAACTGAGCCTTCACGCCTCATCTCTACATAAGCCTCCTTCTTCCTCTTGACAAGAGATTCAACTTCTTTTGTAAACCACAGTTCCCTCTCTCGACCACTTCCTTCCTGCCTGACAGGTACATACTTCTCAAGGACACGCAGTAGCTGTTCCTTGAACAAGCTCCACATTTTAATTGTGCCCAGCCTCTGCAGTTTCCTTCTCCATCCTGTGCTTCCTAAATCTTGCCTAATCGCCTCATAATTGCCTTTCCCCCAGCTATAACTCTTGCCCTGCGGTATATACCTATCCCTTTCCATCGCTAAAGTAAACGTAACCGAATTGTAGTCACTATCACCAAAGTGCTCACCTACCTCCAAATCTAACACCTGGCCTGGTTCATTACCCAGTACCAAATCCAATGTGGCCTCGCCTCTTGTTGGCCTATCTACATACCATGTCAGGAAACCCTCCTGCACACATTGGACAAAAACTGACCCATCTGAAGTACTCGAACTATAGTGTTTCCAGTCAATATTTGGAAAGTTAAAGTCCCCCATAACAACTACCCTGTTACCTTCGCTCCTATCCAGAATCATCTTTGCAATCCTTTCCTCTACGTCTCTGGAACTTTTCGGAGGCCTATAGAAAACTCCCAACAGGGTGACCTCTCCTTTCCTGTTTCTAACCTCAGCCCATACTACCTCAGTAGACGAGTTGTCATCAAACGTTCTTTCTGCCACCGTAATACTGTCCTTGACTGACAATGCCACACCTCCCCCTCTTTTACCACCTTCCCTGATCTTACTGAAACATCTAAACCCCGGAACCTGCAACAACCATTCCTGTTCCTGCTCTATCCATGTCTCCAAAATGGCCACAACATCGAAGTCCCAGGTACCAACCCATGCTGCAAGTTCACCCACCTTATTCCGGATGCTCCTGGCGTTGAAGTAGACACACTTCAAACCACCTTCCTGCCTGCCGGTACACTCCTGCGACCTTAACCTTATTCATGACCTCGTTACACTCCACCTCCTGTACACGAGTTACAATTCAGGTTCCCATCCCCCTGCTGAATTAGTTTAAACCCTCGAGAGAAAAGAGGGGCAGGGAACGAAGAGAGATGAAAACAGAGGGAGGGGGGTAAGACTGGGACAGACACAGAGAATGGGCCTAAGGGGAACAGACAGAGATGGAGATAGGAATGCAGAGAAAGATAGAAAGAAAGACAGATGAACAAAAACACGAAGGATAGAAAGAAAGGGACAGATAGAAAGAGGGATAGACACAGTGAGGGAATTAGAGAATGAGTGATTGGGTAAAAGCTGCAAATAGGAAGGGGACAGGAATTGGAAATGAGAGAGAGAGAACAGAGCGATAAGGCACTGATACAGAGAGGGTGAATGTTCGGATGAAGGCATGAGTAGAATAATGGGTAGTTCTGATTGACAGATGATCCCCTGGTTTATTGGAGCTTGTATTGCTGCATGCTCAGTCTCTGTCTCTATTACAGGAGAGGATCAGTGAGCTGGAGAAAGACATCAATGATGCCAAACAAGAGATGGCTCGTTACCTGAGGGAATACCAGGACCTCCTCAATGTCAAGATGGCTCTAGATATTGAGATTGCAGCTTACAGGTAGGTCATCATTCTCTCCTCAATGCACTGAATTGGAACAACGTTGGGTACATCAGAGACAAATTCAGTTCTGTTTTCAGTTGGTGGACAAGCTGGCTGTTCCTCACACTCTCAGTTTCTAGCTCTATCTGTCTCACTCAGTCACTTTCTCTCTCTATCTCCTTTTCTCTCTGTATGGCACTGTTTCTCACTCTTATCTTTCATCCCTCTCCATCTTTGACTTCTCTCTCTCTCCCCCCTCACCGGTGTGTCACTGGCTGTCTCTAACTCCCTCTGTCTCCCACTCTCTGTCTCTGTCTCTCTCTTCTCCCCCACCGACACCCAGCTGTGTGTCTGTCTCTCTCTCTGTCCGCAGTACCTCCCTCTCTGTCTCTCTGTCCACCCGCCCCTCCCGGTGTCTGCCTGTCTGTCTCTCTCTCTCTCTTCCTCCAGTCTCTCCCTCTTTCTCTCTCTCTAGTCTTGCTCTTTCCAATCTCTCGCTTCCCCCCTCTTTCTCTCCTGCTCTCTCTCCCACTCTTTCTCTTTCTATCTCTTTGTCTGTCTCACTCGCCCTCCCCAGTGTGTGTGTGTGTCTCTCTCTCTGTGTCCCCCAGTCTCTCTCTATTTCTCTTTATTGTCTTCTATGCCTCATGTTCTTAGTTTCTTTCTCTCTTTCTCTCTCGGGCTCTCTTTCCCTCTGCTCGGTCACTTTCTCTCTCAATATCTCCCACTTTCTCAGTTTCTCTCTCTGTCCTTCTGCCTCTCTCTCCCTTTCCACTTATTTCTCTTATAGAGACATAGAGCTATACAGCATGGAAAGGGGACCCTTCAGTCCAACTTGTCCATGCCGATCAGGTATCCTAAATTAGTCTAGTCCCATTTTCCAGCATTTGGCCATATCCTTCTACACCCGAAAAGAATTGCAGATGCTGTAAATCAGGAACAAAAACGGAAGTTGCTGGTAAAGCTCAGCAGGTCTGGCAGCATCTGTGAAGAAAAAATCAGTTAACATTTTGGGTCCAGTGACCCTTCCTCTGAACTGTTCTTTTCCAGCAACTTCTGTTTTTGTCCCTCTGAAGCCTTCCTATTCATGTACCCATCCAGATGCCTTTTAAATGTTGTAATTGTACTAGCCTCCACCACTTCCTCTGGCAGCTCATTCCAAACACGCATCATCCTCTGTGGAAAAAGTTGTTCCTTAGGTCCCTTTTAAATCTTTCTCCTCTCTTACCTTAAACCTATGCCCTCTAGTTTTGAACTTCCCCCCCCACCCTGGGGAAAAGCCCTGTCTATTTACCCTAATTTTATAAATCTCTAAGGTCACCCCTCAGCCTTTGACACCTATTCAGCTTCTCCCTATAATTCAAACCCTCCAATCCTGGCAACATCCTTGTAAATCTTTTCTGAGCCCTTTCAAGTTTCGCAACATCCTTCCCATAGCAGGGAGACCAGAACTGCTCACAGTATTCCAATAGTGGCCTAATCAATGTCTTGTACAGCCACAACATGACCTCCCAACTCCTATACTCAATGCACTGACCAATAAGGGCAAGCATACCAAATGCCTCCTTCACTGAGATAGTATCCTGTCTACTAGGGATTCCATGTTCAAGGAAATATGAACCTGCACCCCAAGGTCACTTTGTTCACCAACACTCTCCAGAACCTTACCATTCGGTGTGCAAGTCCTGCCCTGATTTGCCTTTCCAAAATGCAGCACCTCACATTTATCTAAATTAAACTCCATCTGCCACTCTTCAGCCCATTGGCCCATCTGATCAAGATCCCATTGTACTCTGAAGTAACCTTCTTCGCTGTCCACTACACCCCCAATCTTGGTGTCATCTGCAAAATTACTAACCATATCTCCTATGTTCACATCCAAATCATTTACATAAACGATGAGAAACAGTGGACCTAGCACCGATCCTTGTAGCACAACACTGGTCACAGGCCTCCAGTCTGAAAAGCCATCCTCCACCACTACCCTGTCTTCTACCTCCGAGCCAGTTTTTTATTGTTATAAGGCAGAGGTCAATTGCACCCCGCCCCCAATAACAAATACTGATGCACTCAAGTGCGCCTCGCCCAGAATCTATGAAAAGACCCCAATCTGTTATAAAGGAGAGATTAAATTTAAAAAAAAAAACCCTGACACTCTTTATAATCAACAAGTAACAACTTATTTATCTAACTCTAACAGTGAACAAACTAACTATTCCTGAATTCTAATGATGTGCTGTTCCGATAAATACAAGTCCCACTTACATTAAATAAAAATGATTAGAATTTAGTCCCTCAATTACAGCCAGGTTGCATCTTCTGGAATGTTCTGTCTTCTCCAACGAATCCTTTTGTCAGGAACACCTTCTCTGTCAATTTCTTTTGTCAGGAATGTTAACTATTTGTGCCGTAGGTACCTCTATTTTAGATGGAGCTTAGTCTGAAGTTTTGAGAATTCTGAGAGCCAGTTCTTTCTTTTAAGACTGAGAGCTGTTTTCCTGGCAGATGATAGTTGGCTTCCCCGATCTTCCAAATGCCCTGGTACCTTTGACATAATCAATTTCTTACGATGGTTTTGACAACAATAGGACCAATCCTATCAGATTTAAATTTAATTGGTTTCTGGTATCTAAGGGCCTGGATTAAATGAATTGGCTAAATTCAAAAACCTGTTATTTTGGTAAAAATGCTGCTTTCCCTCCTAACAGCACAGCCTTCTGCTACAAATGTTTCAATTCAGTCATTTCAATGCTGTGTACCTACAAACTTACAGACATCTGTTTTGAATCACTTAAGGATAGAAAAAGCACATCATCTTTTAAAGGGACCATGCACTGCTTTCCCCATAGCATTTTACAAACACCAAATTCTAATGCCTTGCCTTCCAATCCACAAGTACTTGCACAACTTTGCAACAGTATCCAAATGGCTAGCTCTTCCTGGATTCCAAGTGATCTAACCTTGCTGACCAGTCTACTATGTGGAATCTTGTTGAATGCTTTGCTGATTTTGTTCTTTCTATCTATCTATCTATCTATCTATCTAATAAGTAACTAAAAGGAGCTGATTTTAATGGGGTAAGAACTGAGCTAGGTTGTGTAGACTGGAGCTGAAGGTCAGCAGGATAAACTTTGGCAGAACAATGAGCTACCTTCAGAGGAGAGATTGTTTGTTTGTGTCCAGTTGAGCTATATCCCTTCAAAATGGAAAAGTAGAACAAATAGTGGGTGGCATGGTGGCTCTCAGCACCAGGGACCTGGGTTCGATTCCACCCTCTGGTGACAGTCTGTGTGTATTTTGCACATTCTCCCTGTGTCTGTGTGGGTTTCCTCCAGGTGCTCCTCATCTCAAATCTAAAGGGTGGTCCCTTCGCTCTGAAGCTGTGCCTTTGATTTTCCTGATGTGTATGTTAATGCTGTAGTTCTTGGTGCATACGCGGTAATTTTAAAGTTTGAAGGTGATACAAAACTTGGGAAGAATTGTAAACGGTGGGGAGGACAGTCACTAGTCGAGTAATCCTGGATGTTTTTGGGACACGGGCTCTAATCCCAGCACGGAAGCTGCTGGAATTTAAATTCACTGAAATCAAAATCTGGATTTGGAAGCTAGCCTCGTCAATCTTCATAAAAACCCATCTAGTTCCCTATGTCCTCAAGGAGGGGAATCTGCTCTCCTTACTCCATCTATGAATGGTTAACTCTCAAATACCCCCTAAAAGGTCTAGCAAGGGGCCATTCAGGATGGGTAATAAGGGGCTGGTCTGGCCAATGCTGCCAACATCACAGGAATGAGTAAATAGAAGATGATAGGTTTGACGGTGTGTATGGAAAGCAGGTACCTCCACTTGTGGGGATCCAGGGTTAGGGCCATCAACTTGAGAGAGTGACTCCTAAATCCAGTTGGGAATTTAGGATCTGAGAGTGGGGATAATGTGGACCTCATTCTCACAAAGAGGGGTTGTGCTGAACACTAATGTATTTAAGAGAAACCTGAATAAATACATGAGGGAGAAAGGGATGGAGATCAGGTGATGTGATGAGGAATGGCAAAAGACTCACATAGAGGATAAACATTAGCATTGAGTAGTCAAGTTGATTGGTGTGTCTCAGTTTTGTAAATACTCTGATGCCACACCAGCCTTGCAACTATTCGACTGTAGGGGAATGTCACACTATCTGGGCCCCTGTGCAATTCTGGCTCTCAGATTCCAACTCGTCCGCTGGTTCATTTTGCTTCCCAGTATCTTTTTATTAATTATAGGAAAATTTAAAACCGCAAAACATTTCATAAAGGTTTTAAATCCTGATTGTTGAGAATGTGTGATAGAGTGCGAGAATACAAAATGGTAAATGAGGGTGCGAGAGAGGGTGCAGAAGAGGGAAGTCGGAAAAGAAAGTGTAGGGAGAGAGACAGACAATCTGGGAATTGGGAGTGGGTGAAGAGAATGAGGGACAGCAAAAGACAGTGTGGTCTGGGTGAGCTAGAGAGAGAAAGGAGAGGTAAATATTGTCTGTGTTCAACTGGATATCTTTCATTGTGTTTCTTTTTGTCTCCTGTTTAGGAAACTGCTGGAGGGTGAGGAATTCAGACTGAGCTTCTCCTCCCTGCAACCCTACAGCTAAGGTCATCAGTCTGCTGAAGATTGAAGATGTAGTTCCATAGCTGACAACACAGCAGTCATTAGCCATTGCTCCTTTGCCTGTAGTTGTCCTAAATTCCCTGCATCCCTTCCATCTTCATAGTGACCACTCACAGCTGCAGCTACTGAGAACTACTGACCCCGACACTCCACTGACCCCTGACCTGGACCCCACACTGACCCTGAACAATAAACCAAATTCTGAGCTTACACACATGTACAGAAGTGTAGATGTGTGCACATGTATTTAAGCACTGACCAGATTTGAATGTTCCAGTTTGAGATGGAATAAGATGCTAATATTGGCTCAGGGACTGCCCTCTCCCGTCTCGCCCTACCCACCATCTCCCGTCTCGCCCTCTCCCACCATCTCCCATGTCACCATCTCCTGTCTCACCCTGCCCCGCCGTCTCCTGTGCCAATCTGAGTGACCCACTGGCCTAAATTTGGGAAGGAAGCTTTTTGTCCTATGCCCTACTTTTACCCTCTCGCCCCCTGACCCTGTGCCCTTTTGCCCCCTGACACTGCACCCTCACCCACTGACCTCATGCCCTCTGGCCCCCGACCCCATGCCCACTCCCGCACCCTCTCCCATTCTCCGAGGGGTTACTTTGGGCTTTTGTTGATCTGACACTGCCTCGTGCTAGAGGCTGATGTGAGTCTGATCTATGCTGGAGCCTCCTGGGTGGAACTGAATAATTCCATGTCCACAGGGAATACTGTGTGCCCTCGGAATCAGATAGTGTGACCCCACTGAGAGGGGTTAAACTCCTGGGGGAAAAGGAGCAATCACACAGCCAGCCTGAGCCAAGGGGTCAGTGTCAGACACAGGGAGAGTGTAACAGAGGGACAAAGTGACTGAGGTAGAGAGGAAAGGAGTGTCAGAGAGAGATATACACACACAGCATTAGACTGACAGCAATGAAGAAACACATAGATGGACAGAAGAAGATTAATAGAGACAGAGAGACATGGAGAATGACAGAAAGAGAGACAGAGTGACAGAGACAGAGAGAAAGACAGGGTAACAAAAGACAGTGATGGAGACAGAGAAAGATAAGAGGATGACAAAAGCAGAGAGTAACAGAGACCAACATAGAGGTACAGAGAGTGAGACACAGAAACAGAGACATAGAAAGTGATAGAGAGAGACAGAAGGTAACAGATATAGAAAAACAGAAAATAATGGAGACAGAGAGAGAAACAGAGTGACAGTGAAAATAACAGATGAGTGAAATTGATGGAAATTGATTTGTTGTTGTCACATGTACCTAAGTACAGTGAAAAGCTTTGTTTTGTGAGCAGTACAGGCAGATCATGGCAAACAAGGACATACAGGTCATAGATAGTAGGAACTGCCAATGCTGGAGAATCTGAAATAACAAGCTGTAAAGCTGGATGAACACAGCAGGCCAAGCAGCATCATAGGAGCAGGAAGGCTGACGTTTTGGGTCTGGACCCTTCTTCAGAAATGGGGGAGGGGAAGGGGTTCTGAAAGAAATAGAGGGGGAAGGCAGTGATAGATGGTGGATAGTGGAGCAGATAGGTGGAGAGAAGATGGACAGGTCAAGAGGCGGGGATGGAGCCAGTAGAGGAGTGTAGGTAGGGAGTTGGGATGGGGGTTGGTCAGTGAGGAGGGAGGGGCGGGCAGGTCAAGGAGGTGGGGATGAGGGGCTGGTCTTGGGATGAGGTCAGGGGAGGGGAGATTTTGAAGCTTGTAAAGTCCACATTGATACCATTGGGCTGCAGGGTTCCCAAGCGGAATGAGGTGCTGTTCCTCCAGCCTTTGGGTGGCATCGTTGTGGCACTGAAGGATGCCCAGGATGGACATGTCGTCCAAGGAGTGGGAGGGGGAGTTGAAATGGTTCGCGACTGGGAAGTGCAGTTGTTTGTCACAAACCGAGCGTAGGTGTTCCACAAAGCAGTCCCCAAGCCTCTGCTTGGTTTCCCCGATTATAGAGGAGGCCACATCGGGAACAGTGGATACAACAGACATCATAGGGGGCTTAGAGCGAGGCATACAGGGTTACAGCTGCACAGGAGGTGCACAAAGCAAGATCAACGTTAGATTTTAAGTTAGAGATCCATTCATCAGTCTAATAATGTCAGGGAAGAAGCTGTTCTTGAATCTGTTGGTGCGTGTGTTCAGGCTTCTGCCTGATAGAGGTTGTAGGAGAGCATTACCAGGTTGGGAGGGGTCTTTGATGATATTGGCAGCCTTTCTGTGGCAGTGAGAAGTGAGACTGGAGACCATAGATGGGAGGTTGGCTTCCGTGATGGTCCAGGCTGTGACACAGAAATAGCGAGAGTGTAACAGAGGGATATGGAGAGTGACTGAGGGAAAGAGGAAAAGAGTAACAAAGGCAGAAAGAGATTAACAGAGACAGAGGATCACAGAAATTGATGGAGATGATTTGGAGGAGAGAAAGTAATTGAGACAGGGATGGGCAATGAATTCTGTCCTAACCAGGGGTGCTCGCATCCCATAAATGAATTAAAAAAAGAGATGGGGCATCTCAGAGAAAGACAAAGTGTAACAGAGATAGAGAGAGACAGAATAACAGAGACTGAGATAGAAAGATAGAGAGGAGAAAAGCAACAAAAAATTTTATAAAGTGAGGATCTGAAATAGAAACAAGTTATTGGAGAAACTCAGCAGCTCTGGCAGTACCTTTGGAGAGAAAGCAGAATTAATGTTTTGAGTCCTGCCTGAATCTTCTTTTAACGGTCACTAGAGTGGAAATGTTAACTCTGTTTCTTTCTCCACTGCCAGATTTGAGTTTCTCCAGCATTTTGTTTTGTTTAGGAAAGTAATAGAGACAGTGTATGTAACAATGATAGAGAGGGTCAGAGAGACACACAGTGACAGAGATAAACAGGAGACACAGTGAGGAGCAGAGAGAGAGATAGAAACAGAGACAGATGGGGGAATGTGGTGGGGTGTATACAGAATGACAGAGGGAAAAAGTGACAAATTAAGGCAAAGATACAAATACATTGCGCAGAGACAGAGAATACACGGATATAGAGAGTGAAAGAAAGTTACTAAAGTTATAAACAGGGTGAGAGAGGCAGAGAGAAAGATACACATCACATACAGCGTAACCCAGAGAAATAGAGGCAAAGAGGTACAAATACAGAGAAAGAGAGAAGTAACAGTGACAGATACAAAGAGACAGCGATGTCAAGGCATACAAGGCTATGGGCCAAATGCTGGAAAATGGGATTGGGATATTTAGGCCATTTCTGAAGAAGGGTCCAGACCTGAAACTTCAGCTTTCCTGCTCCTATGATGCTGCCTGGCCTGCTGTGTTCATCCAGCTCCACACCTTGTTATCTTGGGATATTTAGGTGGTTGTTTTTGACTGACACAGACACGATGGGCTGAAGGACCTTTCAATGTGCTGTAGATCTGTGACTAAGCAGAGAAGGGGAAAAGGAAAGATAGTGGGGTCAGATTGAGAAAGACAGACAGAGAGACCAACAGAAATACAGAAGGTGAGAATGGTGGAGATGGAGACTCCAGAAAATGAGGGAGACTGACAGAGATTAAAAAAAAGTGCTGAGACAGAAATCGAGACAAACCCTTAGACATCTAGACGGTCTACCCAAAGTTGGGACAAGCACAGACATGGAGTTGAACACAGTCAGGCCATTTACACACTGAAAGGGGTTCATGAAGATTGAGGGATCTGGAAAACAGGTGAATGCAGTCCATGTTGGAGCAGAAAAGGAACAGTGACCCCTGAACCCCAAGGCCTGTGCAACCAGTGAAATAGTCTGCCTAGATACTAAACTGGTCATGTAAACTTTTGGCTCGATGGGGTATTTATTGATACCCAGGCATTCCCACCCACTGCAGTCTAAGATGTCCATTGCAGCTATTGCTGACACTCCGAGGTTCCCACACACACACCACAGCAAGCTATCAGAGGTCAATCAGCCAGAACACCTGCCCAGTAAGTGGTGACGATTACCATGTGGGCTAGAGCTCACCTGTGTGGTCAAACAGCGAACACCAAAACCCCGTAGTCTGAAAGACAGCACACGCCTCTTAGCACGAGAGAACCCGTACCCCTGCAGTCCCTCCCTGTCCCCAATCTCCATCAGCCTGATCTCCAAACATCACTGTTAGTTTCCAACAGTGCTTCCCCTGGGAGTCACCATCCAGAATCTACAGAAATTGTGGGTGGGATTGAGGTTAGACTGAGCTTTGAATAACCTGCACGTTTCTAACAAAAGCTCACAACCCTGGCACTGAAAATCCCTCCGTCCCTCCTCACCATATCCCTCGCTCTTCTCACGTCACCCCCCCCCCCCGCCCCCCCCCATCCACTCCAGTAAGGCAGTAATCGTCTTTAAGAGAATGGAATTGGGAAAGTGATCTGGAAAATCTGATTGGCCAGCAAACAAACTGAAGATCAAAAGAAAAGATCCATTGTGCTGGGAGTGACAGTGATGACAGCGCTGTGGATCCAGTATCTGGGGGGGGGGGTGTGACAGTATCAAATGGGTCCTGTCTGTGGATCACATTGGATCCAGTGTGAGGGGTGACAGTGACAAGTGGGTCCTGTCTGTGGGTCAGAGTGAGATTGGAGACCAATTGGCCATTTGTTAACAATATAATTATTTATGCAGCTGTGTGTGAAGATCACTACGCTACTCCCTCACACTGTGCTTTGGAGGTTAGACAAATTAATTAATGGAATAACTTAGAATTTGCTGGACGTTATCTCCACTGTCAAATCATTAACATCAACTGAATGGATCAAGCTCAACCAATAAAATTCTTACAGAAAAATCAAACTGCCTATCGGTCTTATTCTGCAAGTCGGAATGGACAGAGAGCAAGAGGAGCCGGTACTAGATATTATAATCCCAGCTGTTGGTATCACTGGACAGGGTCAGTTCAGAATAAACAGGGAACAAAAACAGAAGTTGCTGGAAAAGCTCAGCAGGTCTGGCAGCATCTGTGAAGGTAAAATCATAGTTAATGTTTCAAGTCCGGTGACCCTTCCTCAGAATAAAACCTGGATTGATAGATTATTTTGTTTCAATTGTAATGAATGTGGTGATCTGTCACTGAGACACAATCACAAGAGCCTTCCATGTTTCTTTAATAATAACAGGACAGTAAGTTCATTAGAACAGATTAAGAAATAAATATAAGTCAAGCTAACTAAATTTGGAATGATTATAAAGCAGCAAAATAGAGTTTCTACCTGATTCTCAATACTATCCAGGTCAGAGACTGAAATCCGGAGATGTTATCCCTCTATATTAAATCTTTAAGTTATTTTGAAATGATTTTTTTTTTCCCTCTGTTTCAGTCCTGTGAATTTTGGAGTCTATTTACATGAATACCCACAGAACTGAGAGGTTAGACTTCCTCAGCTTCTAGTAGCCTGCAGATTTCTACCAAAATACTCCTGATTTGGCATGTAACTAAACTTCATCAGTAATCGTTGATTATCCTGATTGTTCTAAAAAATCTCTAGGAGAGAAATGAAACTTCTGATCTGAGTCATTGCTTCTCGATCTATCCTAAGAACTTGCATTTCTAGCTTTTCTACACAAATCACTCCTTGAGAATTCCAAGCTGAAAACAAGCAAATGGTCTTCAATGTTTACCTCTCAAATTCTGCAATAGAAATATATTATTCCATTAACACACCAGGTGTTCACAGTCTCATGCTCTCAGACACATTCTGGATAGGTCACTATTACAGAAGATCTGTCTGTTCAAATATGATTTTGTTTAAAAAAAGTACTTTGCAAAAGAATCCAGCAACGATATGCTACTATTTTGAAATCCAAATGCTCGTTTCCTTATATAAAAAATCACACAACTTTCATCACAGTGCACGGTCTCCCAGGGAGAGAGGAAGACAAACATTAGGGAGAGAAAGAAATGGGAATTAGACATTCTGCAGAAGGGAGAAAACTAAGAGCAAATTAAACACATGCTCAAACAAGAGAGAGAGGCAGGGACAAAACACACACCTTGAGGATAGAGTAGTGAGAATAAAGCAAATGACAGGGAAATATACAAACATTGCATTCTTTATCTCACCCTGTGCTGTCCCTGTCCTGGGAGTGTTTGATGGAGACAGTGTAGAGGGAGCTTTACTCTGTATCTAACCCTGTGCTGTCCCTATCCTGGGAATGTTTGATGGGGACAATGTAGAGAGAGCTTTACTCTGTATCTAACCCCGTGCTGTCCCTGTCCCGGGAGTGTTCGATGGGGACAGTGTAGAGAGCTTTACACCGTATCTAACCCTGTGCTGTCCCTGTCCTGGGAGTGTTTGATGGGGACAGTGTAGAGGGAGCTTTACTCTGTATCTAACC